ATTACTAGTTTTAATATCATATCCATGTCTACTCAAAAAAGTGAGGTTAGCATTTTTATTTAAATTCATTTTGTACATATACATACTTACATTGCTACAATCTCTATTTAATCATGCGATTTAACTAAGTTTATTATCTAAATTTGAAGTAGACCTATGGAGTGTAGAGGTAAGTAAACCTATAGGAAAACTAAATATTCTGATTTCTCGCTTTGTGGCGAGGCGACAGTCTAGACACGTGTGCAAGAGTGTGATAGTGATACCATATTTCGCAGCATTTGAGCGACAATAGTTTTGCAATGAACATAGTATCGATCTGGTTTTGACATCGCTTCTAAACGATCGGTTGCTAACTTGAACAAAGTTGCACCCCTGGGACCGATGAATCGATCATCACACGTGTCATAGCGTGTTATAGCGTCGGTTGGCGTGGCGTGTTGCCTAGTGTGTACGCAATACATGTAATTAAATATAAAAACATACGCACTGCTCTTCATGACGTGGGGTAGCATGGCACCGCGTGGCGTAGCGTGTTGGCTAATGGGGTCCGGGCTTAAATCTATAAATAACGATGATAATGGCCTTTTATGTCCCTTAGGTGCTGTTAAGAAGGTGAGTTTTGTTGTAATAATAACTGTTTAGATATTTATAATTAATTTATTTTTGTTTCCAAAAATATTTTGACAAAAAGAAAATATGTAACAGTGGGCAACGCTGTGCCGATCAAGTTCAATAGCTCAAACACGTGAATAAAAGTTTATTTGATATGAACTATAGGTACTATACCGGGTGCGTCTCAAAAGTGGCTCACCCCTATAACTTTTTATTTTTTCAGGCTCACTTTATTCGATAGAAAATGACATTCTGATAGAGAATGACATATCATATGTCAACCTTGGACAAAACAAAAATTGTATTTAAAATTTAAATCTAGAGTGCCATGGCTGTCTTAAAACACTCATTTTTAATCAAGGAGCCTTGGAAAAATAGATTTGATCATCTAATGTTTTTCGTGTCTTGTCCTGACCGGTTAAAAGATTCCCAAAATCGTATTTTTTTTATATTTCAATTTTTTCAAGGGTTCGGAAATTCGGAAAAAGCATTTTTTACGAAGAGTTTGATACCACACACTTGGTATTTCGAGTCAAATTGTCAATATGAACTGCATGTTACAATTTCAAATAAACCATATGCAAAAATGTCAAAAGTTGATATATTATATGTCATTCTATTCAGAGTGTCATTTTACTATTTAAAAATCAAAAGTTGTAGTCATTTCCGGTGAAACAGGAAGTGACCAAAAACAATAATTGAGTGCGTCAATCAATCCTAATTTATGTCCTATACTAACATACCAAATCTCGTTTTTTTACCTGAAAAATAAAAAAGTTATAGGGGTGAGCCGCTTTTGAGACACACCCGGTATATTATATTGCTTCGTTAGTAAGTAAAGTCTGTCCAACGAGAGAGTAAATGAGTGTGACGTTGTCTGTCATTTTTGGGATGTCGTCTGTCGAATCCTTCCTTTAATACGTTGGACATATTATTTCATATCTTTCTCCTGGTGGTTCTCTCTCTCCTTTCAGTAATATTATCCATTACGACAGTAAAAAATTACTAATAATTTAAAATGTCAATAAATTTCGTGAAGAAAAAAAGACATTAAGAATCCACAAGCAAATTTCTATGTAGCTATTTACTTTAACATTGGCGCGCTTAACCAATAACCTTGTCATAAATAAATAAAGAAAGGGTTAAAATATAAAAATTGGTTAGATTGAAATCACTTCAAATGAATTTTAATGAACAAGTCTATTTAAAAGTTGACGTATCTTAATCAAGTAACATGTTTAATAACAGTACTTAATAGGTAGGGCAGAGTAATTTTTCAATTAACTCCACGTTATATGTGGAAACACGGTACGACTGACAGAATCAATTTGGAGTTTCATTTCCTTGATTTACTTAAAAACTGTTTATTTCGTTAGAATATTTCTTGTGGATCGAATATTGGCATATAAACTTATCTTACTCATATAAAATAGGGAAAACAAAAACGTTTCTATTTCCTTTCTAAAATTAAATTCTATTAAGTCATGTCAAAGAAACCTCAACAGCTGTCGTCAGATCAGGGCTCGCTCTATACCAGTCCATAAACTCTAGCTCATCTTATTTAACGTTCTATACTTAGAACCACAGAGTTAAGTAAAGAAAGATGTATCAGAGAAATAACTAAACATAGAGTACCTAATTCTAAAATATTTTTTGGTACAACCGTTTACATTTTGATTTTCTAATGTATAGCAGTCAATTTAGAAACTTTTGGGTCTCTGCATATTTCTTTTCTACAAAGAGCAGTTAACAAAAGAAAATTCAGTATGTCGTTTATCACAAAACCTATGTCGTTTTAGGGCACCAAAATATGATTGGGTATTTGTTTTTCACATTTGTCATTTATTTTAATATTTTAACATTTTTTCTTGAAAAATATATTTTTTAAACTCATTTAATTTGTTCTATTTTGTTCTATCTATACATATATAACCTGTAAATTCTGTGAAAATTACCACCTGAACTACAATTCATTAATGTTTTTTACTCCTCGTCAATTTATTCTTGGTTTAAGTCCCACTCTAATTATAGAGATATTGCGATTGATTACAGACACTATAACCGTTGATTCTATAACCAATAGTACTTATTTGTTGGGACATCTCTATGTTAACTTATTTCTTTGAAAAGAAGCGGTCTAGTCGCCTCAGACGGTGACTACATTGACCCTAATTAGATGGTCGAGAAACAGAAGAAAAGATAGCAGGAGCCTCATCTTCATAATTACAATGCGAACCACTCGTAATCAAAGTGTATCAAATGCAGCTAAAGAAATCACACACTGTTTATTTTTACGTATACTAGGGCTGGGGTGCCGATTTTCGTGTGTACGAAGAGTACGGTCATCACGCATAGCAAAATAAGATTTTGAAGGTAAGTATTTTCCCAAGCGCATGGAATCTAGCGTCAGATTAAGTGGTTATGTAATAAATACTTCGTATTTTTGCTCTCCGACTTACTAAATTGCCAAAGCGATTCGCTCCTATACATGTAAACGCCGATCCAAGGTTTCGCTTGCCAGCAGGGTAGACGCTCCAATGAAAACATACACAAAATCCATATTTACTGAATAATGCCCAATTTTTTTTACTTAGTAGGCATTTCTCTTAAATCGATGGTAAAAAATGAAGATCTGGAGAAAGATTTAAACCAGACAAAAATTATATAATTTCTTCCATTTTCCAGTGATTATGTTTTAGTTAGTTATTATTTAAAAGAGCAGAAAAGTATAAATATAGATAAATAAAACAAATACGAGTTAGTTATAAAAGTTACTTTATAAAAAATATCATAAAATTTCTTTTAAATCAAAGTAGTATTTACTTTGTTTAAATTTGATGAAACAATATTTTTTTAATAAACAAACAATATCTTTGGTTTGAGTTTCGAAAGTACAACCAAATCTAAAATTTGAAACAGGTGTGCGTACATTTACTTCAATTATAGAAACAAACAAGTATCTTCTGTATTACAAACGACAAATGACATTAATCATTATTTTAAAGGATACCGGTGTCATCGTTTCCTTTTCACTCGGTACATCCAAAGCCTTTTAGGGTTAGTAACAAAGTCAAAAGTCACTAACCTATTTATTACATCTTCGTTTTTTTATTGCTTTACAATGGCACATAATAAACTTTTACCTGCGCGTCTATTACAATGGCATTATGAAAATAGGACGATGCTTTTATTTTGAATAATGGACTTTCTTCTTTGAACTTCCATCACGAAGACGGCTTTAAAAAAAAGAAAAATTACTACTAGTTGTGGGCTTATAATATATAAGACCAAATGCATGACCATTACAAAGGAGCCTCTACGGTGCAAATTGGTAATAAAAAACAAAACTATTGATCAGATAATGTCATTCGAATACCTCGGATGCGAAATTACAAGCTCAGGATTTCTGGAAGAAGAAGTAAGGCAACAAGCTAATAAAGCTGCCGCAATATCAGGACATCTTAAATATCCCATATGGAAAAACAAACATTTGAGTACAGAATGTAAGTCAAGAATATACAAAACCTGCATACGACCAGTGATGACATATGGTGCGCACACCAGAGCTGAAACATCAGTAACAAAGAGAATCCTACGAACTACTGAAATGAAGACCTTAAGAATGATAACTGGATACACATTGAGGGACAGACAGAGAAATGTAGACATAAGAGAAAAGTGCCAAACAAACGACGTTGTCCGATGGATAAGGCAGAGAAGAAGAGAATGGAACCAGCATGTCAATAGAATGGGCCCCGACAGAATGGCCATAATAATTCGCAACAACGTACCCCATGGAAGAAGACCTACTGGACGACCACCTAAACGTTGACAAGACAGTTGTGATTTGCGAGTGGCATTTTAGATTTGAATGTGATTGAGTTTCTTCTATAAGTACTCCATGCTAACTTAAGTCTTCTGTTGATTTCTGGTAGTAGAGATCCCGAGCTCTGTATAACTTTTCCCAAATATATATATTCTTCTACTATTTCCAGTGTTGTTTTATTTATTAGAATGTCTTTTCTTTCACTAGTTCGTTGTATATCACTTTAATTTTTGCTAAATTCATTTTGAGACCCATTTTATAGCTAACATTTAAAATACACTAATTTAGAAGAAATAAAATGATAATATATTAAACCGACCCGCCAAAAAGGTTAATTGAAACACTGAACCATCCCGTATACTTTCTCACACCTATGTTTGAGGTACTAACTAGTTTAATACCAAATAAAACGACCACATTTAAATAATCCCTCATTTGAGAGAGCAGATTATCACTGACATAGAGCATAATCCCTCCTGCATAAACCCGAAAGGTAGTACCCTCGGTATAAAGGTAGTACCGCTGGCTGGGTACTGTACGGAAGCTTTAGCGCGGCGTCGAGCGCATCGTTGTGCTATCACACAGATCAGGTTTTGGTCCGCGTTGTATTTTATTTCAAACCTCCAACCGACATTCGAAGTCAAACATTCGGAACATTCGGTACTATCACCGCACAATCCGAAAGTCGTACTCGTACAACATCGGAACCAGTGTCTAACTGAAAATATTTATTTTATTAATATTATTTAATTTAATTGACTCAAAAAAACCCATAAATAAGATGGACTTTTTTTTGAATGCAGCAACATGTGTTTGATTTAAATTGATTTAAGCAGTATAGAACAATTCTATTCTAAAAACTATGTGTAACAAGTTTAGTGTTATTTTTGTGTTGCTAATTATGGTGAGATTGGGATTCTCAAATTTTCAGGTGAGTTGTTTTTTTCATTGGGTTTTCCTGGTTTTTGAATAATTTATTCAAAAATAGAATTAAATTATTGAAATCCGAATAAGAATATGCCGGTCTTATTTGCATGCCAAAATTTAAAAAAAAATAAAGAAAATGTCCATAAAAAGTAACGTTACTTTTATTAGTATTATAATTATTTGATGTTTTGATTGGACTTCCATAGAAAAATTAATTAAAATAAATTTATTTTTGGAAATATAACGCCTGCATTTATTGTTATTAAATATCCAAGTCAGAATAAGAAAGATATAAAGAAATGTAGGTGCACGCATTTTTAAAAGCAGTAACCATGAGTTTCATTTAATCTACATTTTCTAGGGTATAGAATTATTTTATTCTAAAAATTATGTGAGTGGTTGGGATCCTAACTTTACCACGTGAGTTTTTTTCAGAATTATTGCTTAAATTTTTTTGAATTTCACACCGTTCAAATTCAAATTCATATAATTTATTGAACTGAAAATGAAATTTATACGCTGGCACTGTTATTTTGTTTATTTTATATAATTAATTGTATAAAATACAAATAATTTACTTGGAATCCCTAAATTATCAGATGAGTTAGTTTTTATTGGATTTTCCTAATAACTTAGGATTAAACTACTAAAAAATTGAATTAATTATTGAAATGAATAATAATATATAACGACAATGTATAAAAATTAAGAGATAAACAAGAATTAACGCATTATTATTATTATTCTTTATTTTAATTGAGTTCCCAAATATCTTAAAATGTTAATTAATTTAAAAATTAGTAAAATGAATAATATGCACAAATTATTTTCATTGTAAAAATATTATTGAAAAAAATAAATAAAATAAGAAAGGAATTAAAAAAAAACTAAACATTAAAAAAAATCACTAATATATTATAAATTAAATTTGTAAGATTATGTTAATTTACTATTTTGATTTTAATGATTTTAGTGAAAATTTTGTAAATTGTAACAAATATTCATGTTGTTTTTCTTTATTGAAATTCATATTTATTTATTAAAAATATTTTTAATAAATAAAAATTAGAAAAATACAAAATTATAATAAGAGGATTTATTTTTATCTAAAAAAACTACGAATAATAAAAAATTAGCAAACAATTTGTAGACATTATAATATAACTCAATATTGTTTTCTTTGTCATCATCATCAGATTGTTGAAAAAAATTTTGACATAATATACAAGGTGGTCCGAATTGTATTCCGGAAACTTCGGCAGCATATTCTGCAGATAAAAATAGGTAAAAAAGTTCGTATAAATGTATGTCCTAAAATGCGTAGTTTCGGAGGTACAGGGTGTAGAAATTTCATTTTTATTTCGATTTCTTCCAAATAATTTCTGAAGTAACGTCAATATTTTGATAAAAATTGGTGTCTGGGAGTTTTTTGACATGAGAAATTTGATTTTGATGTCGATATGACTCCTACTGGTAGAGGGCGCCACCTACATGTGTTTTAACTGTTTTGAAGCGCAATAACTTTTTGTCCGTACCTGTATAAAACTACCGAGGGAAAAAATATACATCTCTGTGATTTTTTACGTAAAAAATATCTCCTTGTAAAAATCGCTCAATTCTTAATAATAATGATAATATTTATGAATTAAATAGTATAATACGAATAAAACAGGATCATCGGCTGTAGTAAACAAGATCAAACTTTTTGCTATTTGCCTTATTAATTTTTCATGTTTATAAGCTATTTAGAAAATATAAAGTGTTACTCCGCTTTTATTTTTTGTCTATTGATTAAATAATTATCAGTGGGTTAAATTTCAATTGCATTTATAGGTAATAACCAATTTTAGAGATCTGTATATTTTAGTCATAATAAAATAACTTACACGATTAATGTTATTTGTCTTATGAATTTTGATTAAAATTTAATTTAATTTATTAAAAAATAGCTTAACATAATTTTGTAAAAATTTTTATTGAAATAATAATTTAATTTTAGTTCAGGTCTATGACAGGTATTCTTTTTACATATTTACATCATATATGTATAAAATAATATCGATAATATTAAAATATTCTATTCCATAATAATTATTTATTTAAAATATTTTAATTTCAGAGAATTCATTTAATTTGTTGATTAATAATAAAAATAACATTTTGTCGATAATCAGATTTTGATTGTTGTTTAGTTTAGCTGTATTTCAAACAACTTCTTTTAAATAAATGTCAATGGAAGTAAACCCATCCAAAATCTAATTGGTTTGAGCATTGGTTTGAGTACATACTTGAATTTGTTTCAATCATCTTGTTATTATCGTTATTTCAACTTGCAAATCGTTTAATTGGATGTTTGACTATATATAGTTTTGATATTTTTATATGCATAATTCGTTTGGAAAATTGAGGATTAATATAATGTACGTTATCTCATTTATCTTTAAATAAACGTTTTCTATAAATTCAGATATAATTGTCAGATAATTATAAGGCTCTCTATTTTCTTACTTAAAAAACAAATAAAGAGCTATAACGGGACATCTTAGATCTTAGAAGAACTAGGTACTTACTTTATTATTTTTTTTGTTGTAAAATGTACCGTTTGTTTCAAAATGTACCGTTTGTGTCCGGGAAGGGTTATATTATTTCGTATACCTATTTTTGATTTTTTTGATTTTATGGAACGCACTGTTCATTAAAATGTTGTATCTTATGTTATAGGGCTTGTTTCTCTCTACAATTTCCTGTCTCAAAATATACCGTTTGTGTCCGGGAAGTGTTCATATTTTCATAGTTGTCGATTTTCGAAAGAAATCAGTACATTTATTTTATTTCGTATATTTTTCATTTTATTGATTTTATGGAAAGCACTGTTCATTAAAATGTTGTATCGTATGTTATAGGGCTTGTTTCTCTCTACAATTTCCTGTCTCACAATGTACCGTTTGTGTCCGGGAAGGGATCATAGTTTCATAGTTGTCGATTTTCGAAAGAAATCAGTACATGTATATTATTTTATTTGGTTATTTTAAAAAAATTCTGATTCATTTTAAGAAATGTTTAAATTTATTTTTGTAGTAATAATTTAAATATTGATTTTATTATCGGTATTTTAAAACGCAATCGATTTTGTGAAATGATTGATAAACATAGATTTCATCGATTTCATATTTTTACGTGTGCAATTTACTTGGAAAATAATGACTTGATACAATACAAAACATTTCCTAAAACTAATATACTTTTTAAGCAAAAGCATTTAGACATTTTTTCCTCTATCTTAGCATTCATCATCATCATCATCATCGTTTTCAGCTTATTCAACCATTTAAAGTTATAGTGTAGCCTCCCTCAGATACTCTCTTTGTAGTTGGGCCCATTGTTGTCTAGTGTTGGCTATGCTGACCAATCTCAGATTCGGTCTTCCTTTAGGTCTCTTAATTCTTTGTTGATACCATGCTGTAATTCTTGTGGTCCATCTATTGTCCGTCCTTCTTGCCAGCTGTCCTGCCCATTGCCATTTGAGGGATTTGGCTCTGTGAATGACATATTAGCATTATCAACTATTAAAGTGGGTGCGCGGTGGCGTAGAGGTACAGCTCTCGTCTACCAATCTCAAGGTTGTGGGTTCGAATCTTACAGCCGGCATTTGGCAACGTTGCCATGACATCCAAGATGTACAATTCCAACTTGAATCTATACTCCCTTAATTTAAAGAGGTTCACTTTCAAAAAAAAATTAAACTTATATGTTGAGCGGATATAGAATTACACAATAATTTGATTTATTAATTTTTGTATCCTTTACGGAACAATTTTCATTTTTTACTGTTTTTGCTTTAACTTATTAAGTTGTTAATTTTTCTTTATCTAAAGTATATTGTTAATTTTCATTTTTCTTACTAATTTTTTTTTCTTTGAATGTTATTTTTTAAGGATGTATTTTATAATTTACTTTTTTTATATGTTCGGTTAACTTAACAGCTCTGCTGAATTTCGCCGAGTAAAAAATAAAGAGGTTATTTATTTATTTATTTATTTATTTCATCAGCCGACTATTTTTATTAAAATAAAAATAGTTTAGGTACCTATGTCGACTCAGCCTTAAATGAGTACTTGGGATTCACAATCCTGAGGTAGTAATAGGCGGTTGAAACGTTACATTCCTTGTATACGGAATGGCTTTGGCGTGGCAAGCTGTACCTTGCTACTTCCAAGGCGTTAAACGCTATATACGGGAGCTATTATAATATTTATCAACTATTAAAGTCCTGAACAACCCAGTGTAAATAAAAATTTTAATACTATAACTAATTATGAAAGGCTTCCTATTTTAACTGCATAACACTAACAGCACAATAAAAGAAAAAGCAAACACGTGTACTTTATTCCAAATTTAATTACAGTTTTATGAAAAACGAGCTAAGTTAGCCTTGTTCTATTAATAGGTGTTCAAATATTTATTTGAATATATTTTTTCGATAAGATTGATAATTATTGTTGTTCTCTGATAATCGAAAGATGATGATGAGTTTATTAGATCAATCAACTAATTGTTTTTTTATGGGAAATCATTATTTCTGGGAATAAGATAATAGAGGTTTTTAAACTTTGAGAATAAATAACATCAAATCCAATAACAAATTGTTTTGAAGAAAAAATATATTTTAAAATAATACTAAAAAACGTTCAATAGTGTGTGTCGAAGATAAGAATTAATAGCATAGAGATCTCCAGCCTCCAGACTCCACTAATTTATTCTACTAATTTCGAGGATCTGAACGAAGCTTAAGGCAGTACTTCAAACTGTCAAAATGTTGGCAATAAAATTGACAGAACGTTTATTGCATAAAAAACTAGACGTAAAAGAAGAAAATGCATTAGCCGCAGAACTACTTGTATTATAAATAAAATAAATAAAGCTTTATTGTACAAAAAGCCAAAATAGCTTCATCGACAAAGCATTTAAAAAACAAACAAAAGCACAAAAAATATACAAATAATA